CTTCACAACACTCGAGTAGAAAAACTAGATTTGCAGAAATTATTTTTAACAATGAAATTAATATAGAAAGCATTGGAGAAGGCTTTGGATCTCAGTATCTCTGAAATCTCAGCAATGGGGAATTTACGCTGTAAATCATTTTAAGTCCAATCAACTTCCCCTTCCGCCTTAAACTGAACTCAGGTTACGTAGTTAGTTGAAAGATGTTTTATGAATTTAAAAATATAAAACTAACTGAGTGAAGTTTAGGGAACTTCAAAAGAAAGTTCTATAAACTTTTGATATTCAGTTGAATTGACTGTTTGGTCACACAGACAATCATAACAGACAGATTTGTTTTCCTTTGTCATTTGCTCAGCTTCAAGAGTCAGTACTTCATTTGACATGAAGACGTTACAGCTGCTGCTGCTGAAGCCACTTTGTACCAGAGTCAACACAAAGACAACGTGTGAGTTTTAATTTAACAAGAGACGTTGTTAAACCATAAGTGTCTGGTGGCACCTTCAACAATGACTTACCTTTGCATGTATTGAAAACACATGAATGAAGAATTTCTGGAGAGTTTTAACTTCATTCATTCATTCAAAGTCCAAAAACCTCAACAACTCATATCTATAAGTGCTAAAATTGTCTGTAAATTATACTTATACATTACATACTTATACAAGTTGAATTATCTTGAAATGAACAAAAGTTAAGGAGTTGTTGTTGCATGTGTGATGTTTTACAGTGCAGAGTGTACTCTGGTTGTAATTAACTAATATTCCTCAAAGACCACGTCCACTCCTTGTGTGAAGAACTCTCTGTAATGCGAGGCATTTGTACTCCCTTCTGCTCTACCCTGCTTATCTGGGGTATATCACAGATAAATCCAGGCACCTGGTCAAAGCGCGGCCATGTGTCCAGGCTGCCCTGTCGCAGGGAGTAACCCTCCACAGCTCCTCTGCATGATTTATGGACTGAGGGAAGGTGTTCCTCAGGGTTGACTGGGTCAAGGCCCCTGCTACCCAGCCTCAAACAGACTCCACACCTGACAAGATAAGCCTGGTCATATCCTATCTTTGTGCTCCACAACCTCACCCGTAAGAAGTCATGAGCAGAGCACCTGTGAGAGGAAGAAAAGATAAAACGTTTCTCAGACACACACTCTATGAGAAAGAGACAGTGTAGAGCCTTGATGAAGGAAGAGGCCAAGGTGTGATGAGCTATCTGTCTCCATCCATTGAGTCAACCAGAGACATTTTAAAGAAATAAGGATGCAGGAAATTTCACTATCTTCCCCACAATTTCAGTTTTACAATAATAATTGCAGTGAAGACGGTGAATGGTTTCATACATCCCTCTGTTCCTATTTAAAAAAAAAAAAAAATCATTCCTACATAAAATCACCATATTTCCCAAGCAGAGTTGTAACACCAATTTACCAATTTCTCGTATCAGCAATTTAAAACAAATCAGCTGCACATAATAGTGAATGAACTAACAGGTCGAAGTTTATCAATAATCACTCATCTCTCTTCATCATGTTGGACAAAACGTCAATGGGTCAGATTAGAGGAAAAGGTTTGCAAGTGAAAACTGTGTCAGGATGGGCAGGTGATTGACAAAGAGGCTGAGATGAAAAGGCTGATTTGCAAAGGGAATGCTAAAGGATGAGAGATAAGTCAGGACAGGTAGGATGAGGAATGGGTTAGGTGAATGAGTTAGGAGTGAGCAGGGGTCATGCAGGAAAAAGGTCAGAGGTCATTGCTCAATCGCTTAGTAAACCATAACGTATTACAGAGATGTGAAATGTGAAACCTGAACCTTAAAACCAAGTGTTAATCCTCAAGCATCCCTTTGTGAGGACTGGCCAAAATATCTTCACTTCCCCAAACTGTCCCTTCTCTGTAAGGTCTCTAACTCAAACTGGTCCTCACAAAGATAGAAGTACGCACACGCACGTACACACACATTCCTACCTTACCAACAGATGACTGTCGGACTACGCTGATGGTCCAAGAAATACTAAATTTTTATTTCATAATATAACTGCAAAACCTGGTTTTGTAATTTTCTTTTAAAAATTGTCAAGAGGGTACTTTGATAGATAGACCCTGGCCGATGTCTATCTATCAAAGAGGGGGAACTCCACAGCCTGCAGTGGAACTGTCTGTGGTGAACACAGACTGGGACATGAAGACATTCGAAAGCTTCATTGATGTCTTTGAAAATGTGTATAATTCAACTATACTAGCCGTTTTTTAAGATTTAAACATTTTACTTTGACCAATACAGACACACAGTGTAGGGCCGAGGCAGGCCTCAACCTGCCTGCACGGGCAGCGCTGCTGCGGAGACATATGTAATAAAATTACACTTTACTATATACACACACTTCTCTCAGAACTCTCCTCCGTGCTGCAGCAAAATATCAGCCAGTCATGGTTTTCCACCACAAAACCCCCTGCTTCTCTCTCTCTGGAGGTCGGGAGGGGGCCACAGCGCCTCCCTCACACTGTGCAGCAAGATTGGTAATGATTCTCTGGGTACCGACAACGGGCAGGATTCAAACAGACAGACCACCACTGGTGCCTTCCGGTCATGAACACTCTGAACATTTTCCACTTTGCTTCATATGGGTCAAACTCATACCTTCAGTCCTTCCAAGCAGTACTCTTTCCCTGTTTGCATTTCTGATTTTAATTTAGGAATGGGATATCTGATTTCTTATTTCTTTTTTAAAAAAAAATCAAAACAAATTTAAATAAATGTATTATTTATTCATTAGTTACTTTGGTCTCTATAATCTCTAACCCAATGCATCATTCCACCACAAGTATGTTATTTTTCTTTTCTCTCTGTATGTGTTGGTTTGCATCCCGTTTGGACCAGACTGCTTCTGTCACACCCCTCTTTCTATTGTAACCTTATAAGGGGAGGATTCCTCCACTTTCCTAGTTTCTTCTTATTCTTTTTTTTTTTTTATTCTGAGTCATGCTTTTCCAAATTTGCTTGTGTGTGTCTGACCTGTGAACCTTTCTTTGTGCCATAATGGTACAGTGGTGCAATGTAAGTACATTCACTCATGTGTAGTGATTTAAATTGTAACTCTGACTGATATGATTATTTCTTCAGCCTAGGTCACCATGCAGACAGGTAAGTGTCCAGAGTAAACAGGACGGGAGACAGGAACTTCAAAAATAAATATAAACTTTATTCAATGACTTGCACAATGTAAGATATTAAAAAGAAGGCAGTAGAGCGGGATGGGAGCTGCACAGTAGCTTTAAAAAATGTACAATAAACTGTGCAAAACTACGGCAGAATAGCCAACGAGGCACTGACACCAACTTGAGATAAATAGCAAAAATACACAGTGAAAATTAAAAGGCTGCTTATACTCAGGACCTCAAACACCTTCAAAAGAGAGCAACATATACGGCTCATAAAAACACACTGCCACTACACACCTTAAAAATCACACACACTCACACACCAAGGACAATAGGTAGAGTTTATATGAAGCCTCAATCAATCACAGTTAATTAAGCTGCTCAAATATTGCACAATGCCCGCTTTAAATAGAAATCAAAGAAAAGAAAACAGAAAACAACAAAAAAGATAATTAGATTACAGCAAAAGGCCCATAACCCTAGTCAGTCCTCCATATGGAAAAACAGTGACTGTCAATGTTACACTCTCACACTCCTATTAAAAATTAATATACTATTAAGCTGAGGCCAGACACATTTTTACTCAATATGCTGTAGGCCTACCTTTAACTCGTTCTAGTGCCCAGAGCTTCTGTTGTCCCCAAAATAATCTTCCACAGGGTTTCCAGGATTTGCTGTCAAAGTTCAACTGTATTGAATTGCACCAACTTCTACGATGCACATCCAGTTACATCCGTTGACACTGAAAGTAGCCAGCACCAGTTCCAAGTTTGTATCAGTGACTGTTCATGCTTAAACGGCATCTTAAAGTACAGCTTTAAAATATTTTTAAGAATATGCCTTGGGTGTGTGTGTGTGTGTGTGTGTGTGTGTGTGTGTGTGTCTGTGTGTGTGTGATACAAACAAAAACAGTACCCACTTGTTATCACTTTGCTCTGGTAATGGTAATATTCAGGGAAAAGAAGGGGAATCGGGGGAATCCTGACAAAAGAGTGACACATTATTATTCCAAGTCCTATTAAAAAATCTTAAGCATAGCAATAAATATTAGAAAGGATAGGGTTACTAGATTTGCATGTTTTTGTTCGATTCCCATAACTGTAGCTGCTTTGTAGGATTTTAATGGTTTACACACAGCACTTCTTTCTTCTCTGTACCTGTAATGCAGACGTTGCATTTGGTGTGAAATCAAATAACTGCACAGGGGAAGCCCTTACAGGCTGTGGGATTCATCTGCCATCTCAGCCATCTGGTGGTGGCTGAGATGGCAGGGTCCTGTTTTCAAACCTGCAGGAAAGTGGAGGCCGAAGACACTGCCGAGGTTTTCTTTTTTCACCTCTGCATTTGCAAAAGAGGAGGTGGAGGAATGACCGCACATCCCTTCATCTATCTTTTCTCTCTCTCTCTCTCTCTCTCTCTTGCTTTCTGCCTCTCTGTGGTACCTGGGATCAGAAACATATGTGGGCTGTTCATGGGTGGTAGAGTGAAGTGATACAGTGCTTCACTGGTTTTGTCAGAGAGGATGTGCAGTGGAGAGTAGACATTTCCCCTTGCATTTAAACCTGGCTCTCGAACTAACAGCTGTTTCAGTGTGAGAATTTGAGGCTACTTCCTTAGTTACAATATCATATACACAAACATGCTTAGATCTGCGCTCTCTGTGGGACCTCTGGCTTGCTTTTTTTTCCTGAACATGGCAATAAATCTACTGTAGACTGAAGAAAAATTTTATACTTGTAAGGCTTTTTTTTCATGCTTTTAGGCCACAGAAAATGAAGAAAAGACTGCAAAGATTGCAAAAAGGAGAAGATGGTTGTTGCAAAGGAAAAGTCATGTGACAGTTGGCGCTGTTTGCTTTGTTTATTAGAGGTATATTGTCAAACATTTTACAAGCTTTTGCTTAAATCTTTCCATTTAGAGAGAAAAATGCAACACTGAAAAACAGTTACTAAGCTCAGCAGAGAACACTTTTAAAGCCCCTGTTTGAAAGGCACTAAAGTCCCAGTTTAAACATCAGTCTTCCTTTTTTTTTTTTTTCTTGACACATGCAGACACAACTAGCAAAGACACCTGTTGTTACACACTTCAGTGGCTACAATACATAGAGCTTTCAATTGACTTGTTAGTTGAGCTTTTAAAGGCAACACCACTCATGTCTGCTATCATGTGTTGAACACCAAAATGTGTGCGATGATAAGGTGGGAACTTGAAGTAACACAGACTGTTAATTCAATACACCGAACATTTGTACGGACGCAAATCTACCATAACTTACTTCATGTGAACGGACAGGCTTTCAGTTTTCTGTATGCTTTGCTGAGTGCAGATATCTTAAATATTTTCAAGATTAAATACACCATATTGCTGCTATTTAAATACATAACGTGTCTTTTAAGTTAGAATTGCCATTCAGTGGAATTATGTATAATCACAAGACGACCATCACTTGGATTTTCTTCACGTCTGCAAAAGAAATGTACAAAAAAAGTCTCTCTTTTTTTTTTAAATAATAGTGATAGTAGTACATTCAAACAATAGCATAATAGTTCCTCAGCATTATTGTTGTGGTTTTAAATAGCTTTTGATGTAGGAGTGCTTGTAAGGGACAATCTGTCATTATGTTAGCATTCATAAAAAACAGATGTGCCCTATACTTCTTGGTTCAAATACTGCAGAAACAACACTGTCACATAAAGTTTAGATGCCATGCTGGTGCCATCTTCGTATTGCTAATGTTGTAAGTCCATCAGAAAGATACAGAATCGAGTAAACTCTGCTCCAGACCGTCCACGACTGCCTACTCTGACTGTTCGCCATTTCGGCCGCCCTCCTCAACAGCTAAACACGTGTGCCTGTCAGACAACCGAGCGAGTGAAATGAGCGGCAAACACTTGGATATAGATCACACACACCTGATGTTAAAGCGGTGGCTTCTCATGGGAGAACAAGTAGCCTGTCAGTTGATGGTGTACACAGTTGCATCATCGCTAAATGGGAAAAAAAAGTGAGAAGCTATTCATGGCAGTTCACCTGTGTTGAGCGTATTTCTGCTCACACTTCTTCCTCTGCCCCTTTGTCTAATCATTTATCTTGCTGTGTGGCCGATTATGTCTGTTCCTCTCACTCTCTCTCTTTCTCTTTCTATGTCTGACACTCCTTGCTCCCTGTAATGACGATGTAGCCGCTATATCTCCCTCCTCTCTCCACTCATCCATCCCATGCTGCTTCATTCGTCTCTGTCAGTCTCTATGTCTGTTTGCAGTTAGCTGGCTTCTACACTCTCTTCTTCCCGCCATCTGTCTATTCATGCTTCTGTCGTCTCCCTCAATGCATCTCCCTCTATGTCTGGATTTCTCTGGCTGAGTTCTCCACCCCACTACCGGCAGCCACAGCCCTCCACCACCATGTCCTGGTAATTCTTCAGCACCACGCGGTCTTGAGGGTCCAGGTAGAGCAGGGCGATGGGGCTGAGGGAGGTGGGGACGCAGCAGGCCCGCGGCACTGCTCCATTCACAGAGTTTACCAGAGTTTGCACCATGGCGTGGCTAGAGGAGTTCATGTGGTCGGCCAGAGGAAAGCGACACTCTCCCAGGCAGAAGAAGGCGTCGTAGCCGCTGGGCGCAATGATCCACTTGTGCCAGCCCACATCGTTAAAATCTACATACAGAGGATGACGGCGGCATCTGTTACGAGAAAGGCGTTTCAGTTTCGCAGCACGACCACCATTTCTTTTCACCCTTCCACGTTCACTCCAGCTGACCCCACCTTTATCAGCCCCCCAACCCGGCACTGTATAAACTGTTTTTTTGGCCCTCACCCAGGTTTGGTCCCTATTGTGGCCCTTGCTGCTGTTTCTGGCCCTCTCTTTTGTCCCTTTTCTCCCTCTCATCCTCTGGCCGCCCCCTGGGGTCCTCCTGCCATGTTTGACTAAAGGCTCCCCACGCCCATCATGACTGTAAGTCACCAAGAGGGGTCTCTCCTGGGCCCAGCTGTGCTCGTCCTGACCCACGGACCTGCATACCCTCAGGTGTCCCTCTTTGTGTTTCTCTGCCTCCTGCTCACCAGCAACAGAGGAGAGGCCCTGCTCAGGGAATGAGGAGGTGCTGTTCTCAGGTCTGACCTCCAGGACGAAGCCCAGGCTGCCACTCCTAGCAAGGGCCTTATGCAGGAGCTCTGCACTTATGCTAAAAGCCTCCCAGAAACCACTTGCTTTATGACTGTGGAGGCCATTGGTGAGTAACCTTGTCTCCAGTAGGGTGGGCTCTGGGTCCTCGTGGTGCTCAGAGAGGTATAGGCTTAGTCTGTGGGGCCTGGGGCCCAGGGACGCTCTGTCACTGCGGAGGAGTCGAAGCTCAGCAGAAAGCACCCTTTCATCCTGGGGGATGGAGGAGATATTGAAAAAGATGTGCACCTTCTTGCGATCCTCTGCTATAGGACTGTCTCCAAGTGGCTCTAAGAGAAAGATAAAGAGGGTATGGGTGTTCAGTGTGGTTTAAACATACTTTATATGACTGAAGATGCATGCATCGTGCACTTAATGAGACCCAGACTGATGCTGGCTACATTAGTCACCTTTGTAACCTACTAGATCTTTCTTGAGTAATCTCAAAAGCAGGAAAATTGCGAAGGCGTCTTCAGTCTTAGCAAATAACCGAGCTGCAGATAATGAAGCATGAACTGGGTTGAATGGTGGAAATAAATTGACTACGGAGTTGCATTTTCTTGTAATGAATGCTTCAATTTGAGGCTCTTAAGCGGTCAAATATTCCTACACCTGATTAAGGAACCTTGTATCAAAATCTAATTTTAGGAGCTTTATCACTGTAGTTTTATTATCCCCACATAATGAATATTCCTAATTAATGAATGTTTGATGAAATTGCCATTAACTAACTGGAGATAAATATTATTCCAGAACAGGTTGCACTGAAATTAATGGGAACTTGGAGCCAAGCGGGCAGAGGGCGGCAGGTGGGGTATCAGTATCAAACTTTTCGTATTAAATATTTTCCCCCGGGGCCTGTAACAGGTTAACCCAACCATGATCAGAAGTGCAGTGCAGAGTCCAGTGTGAGATATATCTAAGCCTGCTCACACACATCTTTTGAAAGAAGATTTAGGATTGTGACAATCTATTACAATCAATTTAGTGTTTAGATTGTTAAGTGGTGAATCATAATAAACATCTGCTACTGTCATGGATATCTAAAGACCTTTATACTTCATCTGTGGCTTATGAAATAATTTAAAAGAATGCATAAACAGCTTCCCTGAATCAACAGTTCAAAGATCAAACTCAACTCAAACAATTATGATCCAGATATTTTAATCCAATAGAATAGGTTGACAGGGATTATGATGTGTCAGTGATCTTACCATTGTGGTGAAAGCTGCGTACGGTGTTGGCCTGCTGGATGTGCTGGCTGGGAAAGCTAAATGAAGGGTCCTCCACTAGATGGTACTGCTGCTGGTGGAAGCGGTAAAGATCCAGGAGGTACCGGGGCACTGGGGCACCAGGCCGAGGGTCAGGCTGTGACTGGAGGCCCAGCCGGCTCAGGAGGAGACTCTGGATGGTCTGAGCCAGACTTGGTTCCAAGAGGGAACCGGCCGGCGGGTGTGACAAAGAGGAAGGTGCTTGGGACGCCCTGCCATGGTCGATCTCGCTGGTGTCTCCACCCTGGCGACCAGACGAGGCTTGAGGTAGCAGCAGGACCATGAGGAGCAGGAGGTTAGCAGGGAACATGGTGGACCTGGGGGGAGATAGGGAAGTGAGGAGAGATGATGGTAGGACAGGTGTGGTGGGGAAAAGAAGAGAGGGAGTGGAAAATAGAAAAAAGGGTGGACAAAAAGATATAAAGGTAAGATGAGCATCTCTCTGTCTCTTTAAATTTAGGTGCTTTGAATTTACGTGTGCACTAAATATGTTTTATACAGAAACAATGTAAATCACATGATATAATGACACAATATAAAGTATAGTTCAAGAAATCTGCAAAAGAGATAGCTGCTACAAGATGCTCTAGGACTCTGTATATCATGCTTGTGTCTTCTCCTTCCTGGACATACTAGTTTCTCATTAGTCATCAGCCTTCATGTGGCATATGTTCAAGGAATTTACTGTCCACATATCCATATGAAGTTGTTTGCTTGTTACCCCTGGCTGTAGAAACGGTGCTACTTTGTTTTTTCTCTGTTAATTTATGGCAAGCTTCGTACCCCTAAGGTCTATATATCTCCTGGGGCACCTAAGCAGGAGTAATTAACCCGTTTCCATCTGTAATTTAATTGTGCTGTGTGTTTGTGTGCAAAAGAGATTGACATCTAAAGGGTGTGGACTGTAGTGACATACTGCAGTAATGTAATGTGAACAACACTGAAATCTTTTCATTTGAAGGACTGGTTAAATTTCTCCTAAATTACGAGTAAATTCACTTTTAAAGGGAAAAAAAAGTTTAATCTATAGGTGTCAAATCAGTCTTTTGGTTGACTGATTGTAGTAGAAAATACAGGCCTGTTTTAATGATGTTTACATTGCTGAAAAAAAAAAATCAGAAAACATTTATAACTCAGATGTATCTGTTGTCTAATGTTGATATTTGTTTATGAACGCCTGTCAGTTTAGTCTGATATCAGATTCAGATCCTGCATTTTGAATCTTGGTGGTGGGCAGACTCTTTTGTTTACAAGTGTTAACACTGCAGCAATTTGCTCATTGACTTTGGACTTCTGCAGGCCAGGATGATAACCGCTCCTCTACAAGGATATGGACATTCCTTCTACAGGACAAAGGCACTGAATGAGAAGAGCTTTGTCTGTATTTAGAAATTTTGGAAAGTCACAGTTATGAATGAAAACTATGAGCTTTTCATTGATGTTTTTTTTTTCCTTTTTAAAAGGGAAATTAAATACCATTAAAACTGTGCTGAAAAAGCTTGTAAATGTCTGCATAGGTGCCACATAATAACATGCATGCATCATAGAACATGTGTCTGCAACTCAATACCCTGCTTCACAGCCAAAAATCTGCAGGAAACTGTGAAAATACCAAGTAAGGAGACATAAGAGATTCTTAAGTGTTTTGTGCCAGTACTCTGGCAGTAATCCACCATTGCTCAACCAATCAGTGTCTTTTTTAATAATGATATGCTCAAATAACCTCTATTTGTCACCACAACAGAGAAGATTATTTGCACCTTTGCAGAAGTGTCTTTTGAGCTTTCCCCACATGTGGTGTTGTGTATTGATTCCCTGTCACAAGGAGACTCTCCCTTTTCCCCCCACATTTACACCAACTGATTATTGAAGCAGACTTATTTTCCTGTTCTGTCCCAGTTTGTATCATAAACTCTGACCAAAGATGCCACAGATGCTCCTTTAGCTAAACTTTACTGTGTTGAGAGAGTCAACCCCCTTTCAGCTGACTTAAAACAAGTGATCATCTTATCTCCCTCCATGTCTGTATTCTCATTGCGGGAACCTGACCACAGACAGGGGTCACACAATTACCACTATGACCTGGCTAACACCCTGCACCTTTGTGCAGGTGTTAATAACTGAGCAAGTAATTAGAAACCAGCAAGTTAAGAGCCCTCTTGACCTGAAGAGGTTGAGGTGAAGTGTTAAAAGGGTCAGAGCAAAGGAGTAAAACCTGTTGACCAGTCAGGGGCAAGATAATCTGAACTGCAAATGAACTGAACTTTCATACATTAGGGAAGAATAGAAAAGAATCATGTTGCCCTGGTTGACTCAACAAAAGTTAGTGCATCTTGATTCCTGTCTGTCATTTCCTCAAAGAAGAACTCTTGTGTTTGCAATTATCTATTTCCTTGTCCAAGCTCTCACAAATCTCTCTTCTGTATCTCTTTATCTTGTCTCTGTAAGGGACAGAGAATTGATTAGGCCCTCCACAGCGAGATAACAGCGGTGTTTATGGCTGAGCAAACACATAATGACACTGTAATGGCTGCTAATCTTGCCGCACTGCCAGAAAATAAAGGGGTTAAAAGGAGGTCTCAGGTGTGAAGGTGTCTATATTTTTATGCATGTGTGATTGTGTGTATGTGTGTTGTTCATGTGGTACGCGGTTCAAAGGGCAGCCCTGGGAAAATAAGCCACTTCCAAGCGTGGGATTGTTGCTAGCTATTCATTAAACTCTCGCAACTCTCGCAGCCCCACCCTGGGTTGTTTCACCTGAGGCGGCGCAGCAGAGGACAATTACAGATTAGACACTCTGCTGGACAGCCTCTCCCATATACTGGGGAGGCTTGTAAAGCAGATTAAGGACAACAACACCACCTCTCTCCTGTACTTTCCTCACCTACAAAACCACCCAGGTGACACTGAGGTTCAAAGGTTCAGTCATCACACGACGGGGTGTGCCTCAGCTTGTGCAAGGCAGAGGAACACAGATGAAAAGAGAGAAATGGAGGCCAGCTTGCCCTACATCACTTTGACATACATACAGCCTCTCTCCTCTCCCTGGGTGTCTGTGTTATGACTGGTTCTATCTAATTTAAACTCGGCAAAGAGGACCCAGGCCTAATTTAGCATCTTTATGTGTCATATGCATAAGGGCTCCACCCACTCTGATGTCGACTCATTCCAGTTAGACATTTTTATGATTACACCCACCCACCCCAGTTCTTCCTTTTATCTCTGACTTTTTTTTTTTTTTATTCTTTTCCTCTCTGTCATGAATCTGGCATGAACATGGACTGATGAAATGTTCTTGGGGGGATAAAGGAGACGTACGATGAATGGGTCGGGGATAAGGTGAGCCGAAGGGTTGAGCGTTTGTGTGTCTTTTCCCTGTGTGCATGTGTGCAGCTCAGCCTATTAGACATATTAGATGTGAACTGACCTCACACAGTAGCGTGACCCTGGCGCGCGGCAGACGGGTGTCGTCGCCGGCCTGCCCCATGTCTCTCTGAACTTGCTGATTAAAACCTCTGACCTCTGATGTCTTTTGTCGTGTTTCTCCCTCTCCCTCTCTTTTTATCTGTTCATTTCAAACCATGCTCCCTTTCCCCTTCCTCCTTCCTCTTGGCAATCTGTGAACTTTGTCCTTTTGCTTTGTCCTCTATGTTGTCACACACTATGTGTTTTTGTGCGTCTCTGCATCACCTTCCCATTCCCTATCTCCCTCTCTCGCTTTCCTTCTCCCCCATAAATGTTGCTCTTTTTTCCTAGGCCTTAAATGAATGGTGTTTTTGCGGAAGAGTGTGGCGGACTGTGGCCGGGCCAGAGGGCTGGAGTGTCACCGCAGCCGGCTGATTTATCCACCGCCACTGTCTTCATGTTACGCCTGATCCCTCAACTTTCCCTTCCTGTTGTTCTTCCCGTGTTTCTTTTCCCAAATTCCTCCTCTTGCTCTCTCTGATTTCTCTCTCCCCCTTCCAGCTCTCGTTTTTCTGTGCTGCCGTCTCATTCTTTCAGAACATGATACGTGCAGCATAAATGTGGCAGGGTTCATTTTCTTGCTCTGAGCTTACTCAGATACTCGAAAATATGTCATGTTGGACAGCCTCATGAGCCCTAGTGTGATGTACAGTGTACACTGACACACCTGAGAACACTTCTGAGGATACATCTGTATCCACAGTGGCCCTTGCACTGGAACACATAAACTCAACATACATGCCAAAGTCTATATAAGCAACTGTGAGGTATGACTGCACAATATCCCCCATGCTTAAATAGTCATTAATGCACGACTTTGAACTGTGGAGTTAATATACAAATGGGGTGTGGAGAAATATGTCCAAAACAGTTGCAAGTGGAGTTGTGGTTGTGCTTTCTGAGGCGTAACAGATGAAATCATTAGAACAATATTCCAGGTAGGCTGCTGTGTGGGTTTATTGGACTCTATTAGAACAGCACTTTAATTCATCCCAGCTGGACCAATTAGCTGGCTAATGACCCAGATGTCAAAGTCCCTTTCTGTTACACACACACACACACACACACACACACACACACACACACACACACACACACACACACACACGCACACACACATGTCCGTGCTAAGAACAGTACAGGGTTTAAACACATGCTAACTGCCATGCAGAATGAGTGCTAACACGTACGCAGAAATACACGCCAAGATGTACAACTGTGGAGAAGCTGAGTTGTAAATATGTGAGAGCAGTTGGAAATAAAATTAAACACATACAAGCACACACACACACACACACACACACACACACACACAATGGTTCAGTTTAGCGGACATTCAGGTGTTGAGTAAATCTGGTGCTTCCCTGATCAAACAACAGAACAGCACTGTGCTCTACCTGACCGATCAGGTATCACTCATACACACAAACTCACACACTTTTGGCTTTAGTCTCATTTGCATGAGCTTGAGCTGAGCATCAACAGGTCACCATGCGTTTACAACTCATCTCTTTCATCCTCATGCTCCTTTTTCTTGTCTCTCCTCTTTTGTCTCGGCCAGGCATGCCTGCAGGTCTCAGTGTCACAAGTGCATTGTGGTTAACAGGAGGCCCCGCTGAGGCACAACACTGCAAAAGCATCAGTGGAAATACTGACATATCTAACCCGTGACTGCTGAAAGCTCAGAGACTGCTGTCGTTGTGTGGCTGACAGCTAAACCGATTTGAAATACAGAACAAAAACACACTCCTGCTTTTCACATTAAAGCACTGAGGGCCAATTGAGACTGTGTATGTTGCAGCGGTGGTGACTTACGTTATGCTCTTTGAACTCATAATGGGCACATTATTCTTAGACAAGTTGCTCACTGGACAAGATTATGATTGAGCAACACAGAGTGCCAGTGGTGTATGCATGTGCATGAGTGTGTGTGTGTGTGTGTGTGTGTGCATTTTTTCCCCAGAGTGACTAATGGTTTCAGCAGCACAGTTCCTGTGGCCTGTGGCTTGACAGACCCATGTGTGTGTGTGTGTGTCTGGGTGTGTGTGTGTATGTGACTGTGAGTGAGAGGCATGGGGATGTAGTACTCACGTCCAGGTGTGGTGGGATGTATGCAGAGTCCATGGTTTATCCTTGAGCTCCAGTGTTACGATCCCTCGGCTCTCGCTCCCGCTCCTTTGGACAGAATGGACAAAGTGGACTATTTACCAAATTTTCCTTCTTGCCTCTTTTCACCTCTCTCAGGGCAGCCAGTGCCTGTCACTCCTATGTCTCCTATGTAAATGGACTGTAGGTAGTGCTGCTCGCTCCATGTTTTTCTCCCCTCTCTGCTCCCTCGCTCAGCTTCTCATCCTGTTGTCAGTGTCAGATAAGCAAAGTCTTAAAAACATCCACCGGCTTCCCCTCTGCCTGCCTGCCTGACCTCTGCTAGTAGGCAACTCCCTTTCTCTGTCGCCTGCACTTCCACCTCTGCTTGTTTAAAACACGCTGGCACTGCTGCTGTGGATGGAAGCTGCAGGAGGAAAATGAGTTGTGTCTGTCTGTGCTGTATCACTGGCAACAACTCCCTCTTGTTCCTAAATCTCCTTACTATGTGTCTCTCCCTTCCTCTCCACTCAGTTCCTCCCTTTTGTATCTCCTCCCCTTTTCCTCTCTCTCTTTCTTGCTCTCTCTCTGACATACACACACATCCACACACACTTTTTTTTGCTTTTTTTCTATGCTATACAAAGTGTCCAGCTGGTAAACTCAGTTTAACTCTAATTGACTTTCCTTGCCACTTAGATCCTCCCAAATTGTGATGTCACTAAGACCAGTCCCAGTACATTTACAAGCTGTTATCTCTCTCTCTCTCTCTCTCTCTCGCTGTCTCTCCCCTACACACACACACACACACTCAAACACACACATACACACACACACATACACACACACACACACACCACACTTGTTCAGTTTAGCGAACATTCAGGTGTTGAGTAAATCAATCAAGCAAACAAGCATGATCACAAACTCTCACACACACACAGTCAAACCAAACACACAAACATGTCCAGAAACATGCACACACACACACACACACACACACACACACACACACACACACACACACACACACACACACGCATACAACCTGGTCCAGATAACCCTGAGGTCAGCGCACAGAAGCAGACTAATTATTTTCCACATTGGCTCCTTTAACAAACTCACCTGCTGCTTTCCATTGGCACCACTGTAAGTTTCAGCCAACATGCTCGCAGACACTTGCTCCGTCATTATAAATACAAGGGCCCATGACACTGAATAAGAGCAAACAGATTCAGTTACAAGAAAAAGGTATGAATGGGTGACTCATAAGAGCTGCCATGAAGTCACCACAGTTGAGTTTTGTGATTGGATGAAAGTAAGTGTTGAGGTAAAAAAAAAAAAAAAAAAAGCAGGCTGTACTTCTCCACTACGGGTTGAAGCAAGGTGCGTCCGTCCTTCCAGTACAGAGCGGGTGGCGGGGTGAATTTGTATTCATGGGCTGAGCCCATGAGAAAACGTCTCTTTAGGATGCATCGTCTCACATATTAGATCTCATCTGGAGAATCACTTGCCCACGTCCCCCTGCTCCTCCTCTCTGTCCCCTGCACTTGCTCTTCCCGTCCACTCTCGTACAAACACACGAAAACCTCATCCACAGACCTCATTCATCCCGAGGCTGAGTAATTGTCCCAATGCAGAGTGACTTTACACACAAACACACACGGGCTCTGCTCTCAAAACACACACACACACTTGCTTTTGGAAAGGGGTTTTTATCATTACGGTGCTTTCACTGACAGTCTGGTTGTTATCAGAGTCAAGATGCTTTTGTAAATTGTTTGTTAAAATGTGAGAAAAAAAAAAGTAAAATGTCAGAGAAGCATTTCACTGACCATTTGTATGGTAATTCAAATCTTCGCTGCATTAAAACACCCAGTCTCTACAGGATTTCACAATCACATCAATTAACAGTCTGTCTGAGAGTTGTAGTGAGTGTGAAGCATGCATTTCTGCAGGATTAAATCCCTCATGTCAGCAAACGTCCACCTTGAGTCCTCCAATTAATCACCAACCTCCTGCAGCTCCCACTGACCCTGACCTTTGACCCCTCTGAGGAGGGGTTTGAATGAAAACAGAATTATGCTTTTGGGATCAGTTGAGTATCACTGTAGACACAAATCAAAGTTTCTTTTTCCTTTTGCTGCTATCTTCAAACATAGCGCACCATCAACTTCACCATCAGTCAGACTATGTAATTCTCAGACCAGCTCTTCTTCACTCTCATTTTGTCCTTGAGTTTGTGGTGAAAGGAGACACTTCAGAGCACAATGTCTCTGACCCACATACACCTTATTAATTCGGATATAGTTCAATGTTTTGGTAAATCTGCTCATTTGCTTTCCTTCAGGTAGATGAGAAGATACCACTCTCATATCTGTACACTAAATATCGAGGTGATTAGTTTAGCTCATCAGCAAATCTAGAGGCTGTGGGAAACAACAGGAGGCCACTGTGCCTGGCTGTTGTTCACCAAGAAGTATGTGGGTAGAATGTGGGTTTGAATATTTCAATCAGTTTTATTACTTTTCCAACCTACAAAGCTACATAAGTGGACAGTAAAGCGTTTGGTGTGTAAAAATGGACAGAGGCCTGTGGTTATTCAGGGTTCAGACATCATAGCTGAGCCACAGCTCAGGCTTCACCAAGTGCTTTCTTCAAATAAGCAGTTATTCCAGCCTCCAGGTTTCCCATCCTCTGGAAAAGCCGTCGGCTGCCTGTCCCGCTGACTTCCGACGGGGGTGGAGAGAAACTTTTAAAGTAATACCTCACCGCCTTCTTAACAAGCCATCCATCCATCCTGTATCCCAGTGTTCCCACCTCCATACCGCTCCATCCCTCCATGGACACAGAGAGCGAGGCCTCGTCAGAGGAGAAGAAGGAGGAGGAGNACCAAGTGCTTTCTTCAAATAAGCAGTTATTCCAGCCTCCAGGTTTCCCATCCTCTGGAAAAGCCGTCGGCTGCCTGTCCCGCTGACTTCCGACGGGGGTGGAGAGAAACTTTTAAAGTAATACCTCACCGCCTTCTTAACAAGCCATCCATCCATCCTGTATCCCAGTGTTCCCACCTCCATACCGCTCCATCCCTCCATGGACAGAGGAGGAGGGGGAGGGGGGGGAGGGGGAGGATGGTGTCTGGACTGTTCAGCTACCTTTTTCCTTCTTTTTCATCTTTCACCAAACTGTCACACATAACTACTCATTGATTAACATGGTCGTCTGTCATTCAGTAGCGGTGGGAAGAAGAGCAGCAAACCTCAATAGAAAGGTGACTTGGCCTCATAGCAATAGCAGTAACAGCTGTGAGCACACACTCACTACCTCAACCAGTCGGGGTGAGAGGAGAAAGAGAGGGAGAGAGAGTAGAGAGAGACCAGAAACAGCTATATATAACTGCATATACTGTTGTATGTAAGCAAGGAGAGATAGAGAGAGAGAGAGAGGGGAAGACAGAAGAGGAGAGAAGAAGTGCTCAGTGCATCATGGGAGTTCCTCCTGCAGCCTTGGTCTACAGCAGTATAACTAAGAGGTGGTTCAGTGCTCACCTGAGCCAGCCCTAACTATGAGCTTGATTGAGTGTTGAGATAAAGGCCACAATTTTTGTTTTTGTGATAATGTCAAATTCACAATTATCTAACTGTATGTATTTTTGCATCTACAGCAAAACCTGTCACAACGCTAAGATTTTGATGTGTTTTATTTTATGTATTTTTGCTACATTGCTTAGATTATGTAGCAGTTTTTGTTGAAATGTAATTGAGAAAAATCTTGTTTATATTTCACAATTTAATCTCTGGAAAGCTGAAAAATGACGTATCCAAATCATGATATTATTAATCAGACTAATGTCTAAGCACTCTGAGTTGCGTGTTGCGGTTGTGAGGGCTCTGATTTAACAAGGTGAGGACTCAAATGTTTGACTCATAGACTGAACTGGTAGAGTACAAGCAAAGGTTTGACAAAGGACAGGCAATCAAGTTTAAAGAGGCATGAGTAGGCAGGCAGGATAGCAAGACAATATTAGGCTGAATCCCCTCACCTCAGCCGGTGCAACAGACGACCTGAGGAAGGGCCCGTCCCAACACCCACACCTGCAGTATTAGTGAATACTGTATAATAAATAAATACAAATAAACATTAAAAATCTTGTCACGTATTTTCAGTAATTGCCACACGCCCAAGTGCCCATCAAGACAGCAAGCACACATTTAGGAATTGATTGATTGATTGATTATTATTAATTATAAAAATAAATCAATTAAACATTTAAATGGAGTAAGATGTAGGTCTGCCATACGTGAAAGAGACACATGATATTATTTTGAATGGCTTCTGCCTGATAAAATTTTCTAAGTAATGAACCAATAGAAGGTTAACATCCAACCCTGCAGCTGCAGCTCTACAGTGATTTAATGTATGTGATCTTATTGTTTGTTTTTGGTTTTCTGGCCAGCAGCTTTATGTTTTGGTTCTGTCTAAAAATCCCACTGTGTGCTTTCTGCTCCGCACCACACAGCAGACAAAGTTAGTGACGAGCTAATGACTGAAGTGGGACATGTAGCTGCTGAAGAGCCAGATGTTTCCCTTATCAAACCATTGAGTTTTTTTTTTGTTTGTTTTTTTTTGAAGAGTGCTAATGTGACAAAAAGAAGAAGGAGGAATGTGAGGCAGCTGCTGTTTGCATAAATGACATACTGTATGTATTTTGTGTTGCAAGTTATTTGGTCAGTGCACAATCCAGAATAATATAATGTTGAATTATCTGGACAGTTGAACACATTCACTGCAGTAGGAAACTGTTGCAAAGTCACATCTTTCTTTATCAACACCAGTTATTAAATAGCTTAACATAAACCTGTGTGAAACACTTTATTTTGAACCATGGAAACAGTTCAAATGAATGAATCTCATGATTTACAACTTCTGAGTGTTCTGGGCATGAAAAGGTTTTATTGTGTTGCAAGTGAACTGAAAAACAACAAGGAGCAATGAGTGCCTTTACTGTTATGAAAATGAAACCACTGAAGTGACACTGATAAACATCAACATAATGTGAAGTGTTGTTTGGAGAACTTATGGAAACAATGGAGCTTAATGACTTGGTCGTCTGTAATCCTTTTTCCAAAATCAAATTTTCCTGAGGAGAGCACGTCACGGAGCAGAGTGAGTCATGAGAAAAAAGCCCCACAGCCCCAAAAATAAGCAAAGATTGATGTTCAAACACTTAATGTGATCGATGCCTCACTGGGAAACGGCCTGAATGATAAACATGACAGACGTTCAGGAGAGTCATTTCGGTGATGACCTTACATTTACCTTCATTGTGTATATGTAATGAAGTTACATTATTCTAGATGCCTTCGAACTGTGACACTTTGTGAACTGTTGGTCGCTCATACTGTTAACAACGAATTTGGATTTCCTCCATTTTGTTTGCAGTGAAGTTCTGCACATTTTTTAATTGTTCATCATTAACTTATATTAGTCGA